TTCGCGAGACTCCAACCATACAAATATATAATCAAATAAATTTCCTATTGTAAATCATCTAACCAATTTACATTGTTTAAAATAATCTCCCAAATGTTTTTGTTATCTTTGCGGAAATTTACATCTTTATTTTAATGACAAAGAATGTCCAATTTGCATGCTAACCTTCCTTCTGTTCTTGTTACAATGCTTATTATGTAATTGGACCTTTACAGTTCCCTTTGTATCTAAATGAATACCCCCTTTTTTAACGTTTATTTTCAACCACTCCCACTGTCTAATGCATATAAACCCTATTGTAAATCGGCTAATTCATTATGTTCAATAAAGACTTCACAATCCGGTGTGGACTCAGTACAGCTCACTTCAATTCCACTCAGCGCAACTCAGCCTCTTGCAACCCAAATCAACTCAACGCAACTCAGCCTGACCCAACTCAACTCAGCCTCTCGCAACCCAAATCAACTCAACGCAACTCAGCCTTACCCAACTCAACTCAACCCAATACAACACAACACAACCCAATTCAAAGCAGCCCAACGGATCTTAGGAAGCTGATCGACAACACTGGTGATATTTGGCTATTAGTCGACATCACACTCCACGATTCAGAAAAAACCCACCACACTGAAAGGACCTAATAAAAACTTGAAAATAAGATCCACGGGATCTTTTGTTATCTTTCAGCACTAAATGCTAGCTTTCCTGCGTAGCACACTCGGAAGTATCTAATGTGCTTTGAAAAAAAAAAGAACTAACGTTTTCAATAAATCTCGTTTCTTCTTCTCTTCCGATGTTGGTAATCCCAATTCCTTCTGCCTCTGATCATACATCATCTGTAAGCAGAGCAAATTTCATCCGTAGAATAGGAGGGATTTTAATTTTGTAAAGATTCTCTCAACCATTGAAATGCTTCCAAACCATTTCAGAAGTATTTCAGATTACCTTTTCAACCATTTGTCTTGTTTCACCATCCAAATCAGAAAGCTTTGAGTTTTCAGGTTGCACCTTTTTGGTGTTTATTTCCGGGTCCGTTGTCATCAACCGATTCCACCATTCCATGCCATTCATCTAAAATTTTCACTTTGTTAATTTGATGATTCCCCACCCTACGCGTTTATGCAGCATACAAGCATTTAAATTATAATTTTGGACAGTTTAGACCGGCATTAATAAGGTTAATAAACTTTTACAATTACAAAGCTAGGAAAAAGCTGACCTTTTCCAAACTAAGCACAATAACCTTCCGATCTTCTATAACCCAAGTTGCACTTTCAACCTTTACAGCAGCGTGCAGAGAACCATCGATTATCGGCTCATGTCCCTGACAAAAAGAAATACGCTGAGAAGAGATCAATCAAAACCAAGACTTGAAACATTAATCATTGTTCTGCTTACTTATTTTCATATTATATGAAATGTCACTAATATGCAATCTGTTCAATCAAATCTGAAATAATACATGGGCATGAGAAAGTATCATAAATGTTAAGAGTACAGAAATGCAACTTTAATCAAAAGATTTACCTTCAGACCAACTTTCAATTTTTCTTTACCGAATTCTACAGTAACATCCTTTGCTTTCAACGGAAAACCAACTTTAAATGGAACACGAACCTATAAAAAAACAAATATTTAAGAAGGGAAAAAAATTTTTCTTCGTAAATTTTTCTCTTAACTCTAATTCCTCCCGCTGAATAATTGTTTTTTATCCGAGTACTGTAAAAAAAAGTTGGAAATGTTCTTCTACCATCCTAAAATGTGTATAATATTACCATCGACAACTCATAACATTTGTTCATACATCACATTGATAATATCACAGTTATCACAAAAGTCAAAATGGAACAAAAAGAGTGACAATATATATATATATATATATATATATATATATATATATATATATATATATATATATATATATATATATATATATATATATATATATATATATA